GTTACAACTAATCGGGGATCCCTTTAAAGCAGAGCAAAATTAAGAAAATAGTCGGCACATTTATACGCTATATTTCTTTGTAAATGATCTGGGCCCATTTCGTCAGTTTAACAGTGAATGCGATGAGTTAACGTTCCTCACAGCTTTTCAGGAGCTCATCATTTCAAACCAGTTGTGCACATCTCAGCCCCGCAGTGCAGACTGTGCACAGCACGAGAGAGGAAGCCGTCTCCCGATTATATACGGCATCGTGTCAGCAGGACATGCAAAGTGTCATGGAGACGCAGCGTGCAGTGCGGCCCGGAAACAAGCTTTATGTTCTCGCTGCAGTCTGTTCTTTGCCTATCGGCTGGGTTCACACCCAACACGTCAGACACCAACTTTGTCGACTCAGTTTACACCAGCTGAAAGATTTGTTTTTTCCCTCCACAGAAGATGATATATTTAATCCCATTAAAAGCCATATTCATTTATGTACTTGGATGAATAAATAAATAAATAAATGACATGAGTTGTTCTGTACAGCTCCATTATACTGTAACTGACACCTCTTTGCTGACAGTGCAGCTGAAAACAGAGGATTTATTATCAGAACCTCCAGGAGCTTTCTCTTCATCTGACAATGACTATGATGCTTCTGTCACCACATAATGGAAYGTGACATTCATGCAATACATTTGCGAATATTATTTCATTATAAGTTAGTTTTCAAAAGGAAAAAGAAGTGCACCTTTCATGAACTAGCTTGGTAAAGAAGAAATGTAACATCTGAATACGTATAAAACAGAACATGTTGTTCGTTTGATCGATTTATGAAATATTTCTCTGGTTTCGTTACAAGAAAATCCAAACTTTGTAAATGAATTAATTAAAGTGTTTTGGAGAACCAGAAATTTGATTCAGATTCGTTGTATTTACATTTGTTTTTACTGTCAGCATTTCTCATCTCTTCTGTTTTTATTCCTTATAAGGGTTAAAACAGATTTTATAAAACATTTATTAAACACCGTATCTGATGGTGCCCTGTTCAGAAAATCAAATTCACACACTAAACAAAACACATTTCTCCATATTTGTATTTTAGTAAGAAGTAAATATTAAAAGGTGATAAATATTAACTAAAATCATGAAAACATTGGAATAATGCTGGGTTTAAAGCAAATGGTGCGAAACTCTGGTGCATTTAAGACAAAATATAGCAAAATGTAAAAACAAAAGCAAAAAATGAAGTATTGATTGTAAACATGCTGCGAACTGCATCAGCTCCATCGTTCACTGGTTTTTGTGCCTGAGGCTACAGATTTATCATAGAAATATGTAATAAAAAATTGCTTCAGAAGTGTTTTATGTAAAATGGTCTTAGATCCAACATGTAAAATACCTGCCACCCACATACAAATGATTAAAAAAAACAATATATTTGACTTATTTGAAAGTGTTATATACTGGAGAACTTTAGCTGATRCTTACACGGCACATAAAAAAGAAAAAAAGTGTTAGTGAGCATCTGCTGCACTTACATTATTTCCAGTTTGAAACGTCTCTATGAATAATGGATGATTTCAGGCAGAGTTTTCAGTTCAAGTTGGGAGTTTCCCTCATAACGCGAAGGGTTCAGTGTAAATTATTWTTTTGCAAGTGTCAGCGTTTTAAAAACTGTTTTCATTTCCTGTCTAATATAAATGTAAACGCATTGTTGCTCTTTTTCTGCAAAGTTTCTTTCTATGTTGCGCTAAACATTTTTGACGTTATTTGGTGTAACAAGGTTTTTATTCACTGCTCTATTCAAGGCAAAGTTATTGCTCCTCAGCCTCGTCTCCTGTGGAGGACCAAATGTGACGTAATTACAATATAAATGGATCAATGAATAAATACACTTAAAATGCACCAATTAGGTAAAAAAAGGAGAACTTTACCTCATGTTTTATAATTTATTTGACCTTCATATTTATTTTTTCAGCTTACTTCCACATAATTTACAATTTACTGTTTATATATATATATATATA